AGAATACACAGCCAAATGTAATATATTTACAGTATGATATTCATTACTTTTGACTAAAAAAAAGTAAAAAAAAGGGGGGATGAAATAATTTAAGGGAAAAGTTTTGAATTTTCTAATGTATTTATAAATATTTCCCTTTAATAAAAATGTTAATGTTCCATGGTAACAGATTGTTGCAAATGACAAAATGAACATATTTTATATTTTTATATTTATATAAAGATTACAATTTAAAAAAACATTTTTGTGTCATTATAATGGAATAAACTTCTTAGATACCAGTATCTGTGATTTTTCTTAGATTTTAGTTTTCATCAAGAGTTATCTTTCTTAAATGAGTTGTTGCCCGTGATGACCCAATTTTTTAATTTGTCATGACCCATACTTTGATTTTAGAACATAAAATCATAGGGTTTCCATGCATAAAGTTTTACCCATTTGTACAATGGATACCTTAAGAATTATACAGTATATAGATACATGTAACTTAACTGAATGAAAAACGTCATTCAACGAATAGAGATAGGCTAGCTTTTAAAAGATAGAGCAAATTTTCGCCGGCATTAGTTTTGTGCATCAAGGCTCACAAAATAATTTAGTGTTTTAGCAAACAAAATATCGTTTGGTAAAAGTCTGTAGCAACGGCTTTTAATGTGTGTGGGGGGAGGGGGGGCTCCGACAAAAAAATCTGCGTACTACAGAGCTGTGCTTTTCGTAAACCACCAGATCTCTATTTTTCATGATAAATTTCTTCCGTATAAATCCAGAACAGTCCAAGTCAGTATCAGTTACACGTAGCAAAATAACCCGATTTTTTAAACTAACAAAACTACAATGAAGCGCACTGAAGTGGTAAAATTTTCCATTTGGATGAAACGTTCTGATTCATGTTTTGAACGTCAATTATAACATAACGACACGCCCATTATACATGTAAGAAAGAAATATTCGTCGTAATGTTTTAGGACACCCCACTTTCCGGAACAAACAACATGATTTACACTGAAATGAAGATTTTTATTAAGAAAGAGCTACATATAGAGTCCCCGCTTCTGTAAAACTCGCATTGAAACGAATTTGTACATAATTATGATTTTATCATGTTTATTGGAGTTAGCATAATGCATGTATCAGTCGAACACGTGCTTACTCGGTGTTTATGTAGACCCTCATTTTGATTGGCTATTATATTTATGGAACCTGTTCTACAGGTATTCGATTGAATCATTTGACCGATTTTTCCTTTCTGAAGAAATGGGCGTGTTTAAAGATAACTCAAAACGTTCCATCCAAACGGAAAATTTTACCACTTCAATGCACTTCATTGTAAAGGTCGCTAATCAGAGATGAAATTTCACAATTTTGCTTTGAGGCTACAATCAGTTATAAGCAGTGGCGGATCCAGAGGGGGGGGGGGGGGTTACGGGGGTTGCAACCCCCCCTTTGGATTTGCAAAAAAGAAAGAGAAATAAGAAAGTTCCAATTTTTTGGTTGTGTTTTTACTATAGAAAATGTAAGGTGAAAGGCTAATGTAATATATAAAGAAATTCGGTTGTAAAAACAAAATAAAACCCCATCCCTTTACAAAATAGGATTTTCAGGTTCGGAGATTTATTTTCCTTTCTTTTTCAAAAACTTTCTGGTAAAGTATACAAGTACTTTTTCCCAGGTTGATTCACGTCCCACTTTCAAAAACCATACTCCACCCTGTATCAATATTCCATTGAGTTATTTAACTATATATATGTGTACAACGCACGTTTTAACTGTTTTCGCCTTCAACCCCCCACTTTTGAAAAATACTTCACCCCCCCCCTTAAAAAATTTCTGGATCCGCGCCTGTATAAGTAGGCAGATCATTGTAGAAAAAGTGAACAAACCTACATGAATGTTCCCTACACCTAGAAATTTTCTTAATTGAATTTCAGTAAGGAAAAAACATGCATATGGTCCACGTATTGCGGTCCTTTTTTAAAGGACAGCAACTTGTTTTCACTATATAATCAATAGAGCCCCGCCCTAACACCAGAACCCCTGATCCCGGGGCCATGAATTTCACGATTTTGGTAGAGGACTCAATGCTGATTACAATCACACCAACAGTTTGACTGCTTGATGTCCGGGAGTAAAGAAGAAGATTTTTAAATATTGCACTAATTTTAGTGGTTTTTGCCCCACCCCCAGGCCCCAGGGGGGCAGGGACCACGAAATTCACAATTTTTGTTACCCTTCACCCATAAATGCTACATGCCAAAACTGGTTGAAATTGGTTCAGCGGTGTCAGAGAAGAAGCTGAAAATGTATAAATGTTAACGCACGACGAACGACGACGGACGAAAACGAATAGCAATAGGTCACCTGAGTAAACTCAGGTGACCTAAAAAAAATTCCACGAAGAGTTTTAATATCCAGATACATTTCTTCTAAACGAAGGATGAGTGCACTTAAGCTGAGAGTTGGGTCCCGGTGTTTTGCGCAAAATAAATTCCCGAATTTCATTAAATCTATGTTTTATAGGTATTAAGAAATGTCTTAAGAACAGGTTTTGGTATATTATATTACATGTAAGTACTAAATAATGCCGAATTTGTCACAGTTTGTCACATTTCTATTGTTATTCATATGCATACCAGTTGTCATCGACATTGTTTACATCGTACCGCAACTCATTTAAAGAAAATGTGTATTTTGATTTAAACTTTATATATATATATATATATATATATATATATATATATATATATATATATATATGAAAAAAAAGTCAAGAATCACAAATCTCGAAAATCATTTTTACTGTTAGCGCTTTCTGCCTAATGGCTCTTCAGACAGTTAAAAGTTAAATTTAACTATTAACTGTCTGAAGAGCCATTAGGCAGAAAGCGCTAACAGTAAAATTGATTTTCGAGATTTGTGATTCTTGACTTTTTTTCATTGGATATATTTTACTGTACCAAAACACTGGATTTTTCTTAAATATATATATATATAATTATATATATATATATGCAAAGGACAACGTTGGTCAAGTTGCAGCTCATATCTAATTTTTGAAAAAGTCTCCAAACTACCGTCAAGTTAGCCACTAAAGTGGTCCCCAACTGTTAACGATTGATATTATAATCATTTACTCACGTGACATTCCACGGTTCGATACGCCTGCGCTTGCATTGAACTTTTCATTGTGTTTTTGTCTTTTGAATTTTTTATTTGGACAGTATCTATCGTACTTCCAACTTCAAACTATGGATGCTTTTTGCGCAAATTTTAATAAGGTTTGAAGATTATATGTCTTATTTTACAATAGGAGTGTTTTGAAAGAATTCTTTTATTATACCCCCCGCTTTAAAAGCGGGAGGGTATATAGTAATCGTTAATTCCGTCCGTCCGTCCGTCTGTACGTCTGTCCGTCCGTCCGTCCGTCTGTCTGTCCGTCCGTCTGTTACGCTTTGGGGTACCAATCTCTTATCCGCAACTCCTCTCATACCACTGAATGAAATTTTATGAAACTTTAGAATCTTTATTACATATTGCCATTGTGCACCTCCTATTTCACTTTTTGATCCGACACATATTTTGGGTTTCCCGGCCACAGGAAAATATGGACTTTTTCACCAGTTATAACCATATGGGAGGCGGGGGGTATCATTTAGTGAGCTCATCGCTCACAGTACCTCTAGTTTGTAGTGAGATTAGTAAATATAAGCTCAAGTCGCCTCAGTATTATGATCTGCAGGGCGATACATCTTACCCCATCCCTTATCACTAGGATCATTTATTATTTGTGCACCGTGAAACTACACAATCTCTCTATTCATCACTGAAATTCGTAGTGAAGCACCTGATTGCGAAAAAATCACATGCGCTATTGTTTACATTCCACATCCATGCATTTAAATATCTCCATCTATTTGAGGGTGCACACGTGTCTTAAATTCGATAGTGGTACCCCGTTCAAATTTCCGGAATTTAAGGGTTATACATGTTTTTTTTTTTCAATGGCATTGTCTGTAATTATAGAAATATGTATGACAAAAAATTCAAGGCATAGATATCAAAAGCATATGCTTGCACAAAAATCATAGATTAATTTAGCGATATACTGGGAGTATTGTAATGTTAAGATTAAAATGGATAGCCGAAAAGGCTTCAAATGACGTACTTAAATGCACTCATTCTTTTTAATCAAAGATTAGTAATTAAATAAAATATCTTAAATCTTTTTGTTTAAGTTCACAGTGTCCAGAAAATGTCGTTGATTGTAGATCTGTAGTCTAAAAGGCAAATGTCGGGATCAGTGCTCTAACCTTCTAAAACGTTTGACTGTATGTTTCAATATTTCCATTTCTATTTTATTTTCTCTGTGATAACTCTTTGAAAGTTAGCAGAGTTCATTTCTTGATAATTCTACCGGAATGTAAATAAGGCAGGTCGATAGGTCAGGAGTTAAGGAGTCCTAATATGCATGCAAATATCGTGCGCATCTGTCCCTGTGTCTCACGCTGAGGAGGCCAATATGCATGTAAATCTCGTGCGACTGCCTCTGTGTTTGACGTCAGTGGCCAAGGACTATTGAATTTGGCATGGGAGTCCTCGTGAAATTTAAAAACTATGTCTATATTTTAAAAATCTAAATCTACAATTTTATTTCACAATGAAATGGTGGAAATATAAGGAATCACTCTCTAGTTAGTATAGTATGCCAGGGACATTAACGTTAGTGGGAAACATGGGATAATTAAGGTCCCTTATGTAAAATATCTAATGTTGCCCGCTATCGTTGATGCCATATTTTTACAATCATCTGGACTATATACAAATGTGGAGATGATGGACAAAGGATTCCGAGATTTGTTTTTTTTTAAAGATCAAGACCAAACGTAGATAGCGAGGAAATGCCCTATTTTATGCATTTATAATACTTCAGCATCCTCCTAAGGTGATGTTAAAGCAGCATACTGCATAATTCAACCATTTGATAGGATTTATAGTTTTAATACCTTCTCTGTTGAAACTCTCCGCCAGAAATTTGCTGTACTCTTCAGACAGTTTGTCCTATAATGAAACATATCTATATTTTTATTTCAAAGCATAATTTTTTTCCTGTAAAAAAATATAAATATTAATGCACCTACTGTAAATCAATTTTTTTCGCATAATCTTTTATTCGCGATTTGTAACTTTAAAATCATTCCGCGATGATTAATTTTCGCGACTGTTGAAACATTCTCAAACAAATACAAAGCTTGATAAGTGTTTCACGACAATTATTATTCGCGAGGTAACGTAGGTGTTGAAAATCATTCGTAGTCCTCGTAAATGAAACTAAAACAGTCCAAAGTAGTATAAGACCTGATTTATTCCATTTTCGTCGTTTCCACCTGACTGTATCAAGATCTTTCCACCCCAAAGATGAAATTTACAATTCATTCATGTCGATAACCACAATGTATTGTACATTTTAATGAAGATTTTTAAGAATACATGTGGGGGATAATAATATATCACGTCAACTTGTTCTCACCGCCTGGCCATTACTTCTGGAGATACAAATACTACATTCGGAAAGAGCTACATGTATAAGCACATTTCTTTCAGCATCTAGTTCGTTTACAAAATGTGCCCAAACCAGACAATTTTAAATGGTACATTTACCATTCAATGAATGAATGAAATATGTGGAAACAACGAAAAGTATCCGAACTCAAAAGTCCATTGAACAGTAAAAATAAGCGCGGAGCAAACACGGACCTCAAAAACATCAGAGTTGGGATCAGGTGCCATGGAAAGGTGAGTATCCCTTACCGACCGGTCACAGTAAAAAATGGAGATAAAGAACAGTAATGAAGTTTATAAGTTCAGTGAAAAAACGAATTTGAAAGAAGAATTTGGCGAAACGACGTAAAACTAGTTCTCCAAATTTAGATTTTACTTCTAATCGTCAAATCCTTAGATTTACTGGAAATTCGGGTATTAAAAAAAAACCCACACACAGAATTCGAAATACTTTTCATCAGTCAGGCACTTTTAGAATCGAATAGTGTTATAAGAACTGAAATATTGAACAATTATTTGTCCCCACTAAAAGTCTGGTTATTGTATTCTAAAACTTAATTTAAGTCACGTATAAGTAAAATGTTAAGGTAGTCTGATCTTCAGGTTTACAAAATTAGCAGTTAAGTAAAAAAAATAATCATAAAAGTATCTCTGAATCCACAAAGTTATATAAATTTATCCACAGTATTTCTTTAAATTTAAAAATTAAAGTTAATCATACTATATATAGGGAAAACTGTCAAATCTCCAGTATATTTTACAGAAAAGGCGAATTGGAATATCATCAATGAATTTTCTCATTGCAAATTGATCAACAAATATATATATTTTAGGTTATAAAACGATAGGTATCCAGGCATTTAGAGACATTTTCATGATTTTTATACTTATTTGATATTTTTTGTCTTCTATTTCCGTCATGTATTCTATAATACATAGTGTAAAAGGCTTTTGCAATCATTGCAAGACACCATAAATCACTTCTGCTTTCATATAATGCTATGCTAATAAACATTGGTATTTAAGGCTGGACTCAAGAAAATCTTATTTCTCTAAAACTGTATAAATTTTTTCACTTTTTAAAGGTACAAATGTCAACTTTTATAGAACCTTCTCTAAGACTTCCAAAGACCTTGAATCATATAAAGATGAATAAAATGAAAATTGTTGCATGAAAAAATTTCATTTACAAACTTCATTTTGATGCATTTCAAATTAAATAAAATTTTTGTTGGCTGAAGATCAGATAAAAAATTGAAAATCAGGCATTGAGTAATTGAAAATTACAAAACTTCTCACATTTAAATGACGGTGTTTCTTTAAACTTCATCTTTAAATTTAATCATATTACATAGGGAAAATTAGTAAATCTCAAACAATTTTTCAGGAAATGCGCTTTGAACTACCTACTGCATATTTTTTAATTGATAATTGATCAAGAAATACATTTTAGGAATAAAAATCATAGGTATCCAGGCTTTTAAAGAAAATTGCATGAATTTTACACTTATTTGGTACTTTTGTTTCTCCTACTTACTTCCATCGTTTCATAATGCATAGTGTATGAAGTGTTTCCTTTCAAAGAAAACACCATAAATCACATCTAATTTCAAATCATGCTTATAAACATTGGTAACTAAAGCTTAATTAAAAGAAATTTGATTTTTTTTATAATATGCAAGTTCTACTTAATTTTATATAGTACAAATGTCAACTTTTTAAATACCGTTTGTTGAAACTTTAAAGAACATTGCATCATACATAGTGGCATAAAATGAAAATTGTTGCATGAAAAAATTTCAATTTCAAGCTTTATTTTAAGACTTTTTGAATTAAATTATAGATTAAAGAGTTATCCTTCCTGGCTGAGGATCGTATATCCTTAAGGTAGAGCACCTTATAATCACTTGAGTATTGCATTCTAAAGCTAAGTTACGTTTATGTTAACTATCGGCGCCAAGTACTTTATAAAAACCCTCTTGATATTTTATTCTAAAGCTTATTTAAGTTACGTCTAAGTAGAATATTGGGGTAGAGAACTCGTATATAGAATTTGCAATGCCCTATTATAACCGAAAAATGATAAGTACGAGGGTTGTTAGAAAATCATTGAGACATTGTGTATATTTTGCTTTCTAATGAATGTCTTTCGGTGAAAATATGCATATACGTTTGACCTACACTAAGAATCAATAAAAGCAAGATATATTTTTACAATATTAAATATTTTCTCTGAAATGGTATATAAATGCGCCAATAGTAGGTACCCGGAGCAGTCATGAAATCAGATTTTGAAAATATATAACGCCAACGTTCTAGCTTGTCGTGGACCAATAATAAGAGCGGAAATAATTCAGTTTATGTGTATAATTTTTCAGCTTTATTTCAAATTGATCTTGTGCATCTTTTATAGAACTTTGATCAGAAATACGGAGATCATAAAAAAAATTAAGCGCGGTAGAAAAATCTGCTAACAACGGCAAAATGGAATTTGACGTCAAGGGCTGAGCAGCCAGCATACGTAAAATTTTGTGTTGCGCAATGTAGAACTCTTTCTTCCAGACTGAACGGCCCTGTAAAACAATAAAAATGAAAAAAAAAAAAAATAATGTGTTAAGTACGAAAGCCCAGAAGATCCAAATTAACCAATCAAAAGCGGGTTCAACTTTTGATTACTCCCCTTTGTTATTCAACTTATTCAACCAGAGTAAATGTAAAAGCTCTGGACAACCACGAGTTATTACGCACGGTATTAATATCGTTACGGTATTTTAAAATGTTTATCTGCGTTGCATAAATCGGCACTGCATGATTCTAAGTCATCCTTCCCCCCAAATGAAAATTTTACACTGGGGTAGAAACAGCATGCATTTTCAAATGATACTTTAAGAAAAGAGACTTTTTGATTTTTGTAATGTTATAGGTAATAACAAAAAAGGAAGAATATTAAACGCTTCCCGATCGTTTCACATGCAAAACCATCTCCAGCTGACTTGACGTTAAATGATGTAGCGATGCTGCTTCGGGTCGATAGATTATTTAACCAAACTTTATCTAATTATCACAGGTTTTAGAAATTTTGCTTGAGTGTTTTATTCGTTCTTTATAAAATGTTCTATATAAAATATAGAATTTTCATGAAATAATCTCCGTCGTTTATGGAGTAAATGTAATTGTCTCAATAATTTCCGAACAGCCCTCGTAGATTCGTTCACATGTTAATTCAGAAGAAATATAATATACAGGAATATATATACCGATACGAATACGTGTACGTACATACGTATAGGAACCACCGCTGGGTTTCTTCGGCGTACCTAGAGAATATAAAGAATAAAATTAATTTAAGGGCTGTTATTGAATATTGATCAGTAATGCGATCGATTACGACCAAACAAGCATTCATAAAAAGAGAAAAAGAGCAAGATACAAAGATATATATAGGAATATAATATTAACATGAAAGCTATATGAATGGGGGGAATAAAAGAAAGAATAACCCTTGTCTTCATTTTTGGAAAACTAGAACCCTGACCCTGGGGCCATAAAATTCACAATTTTGGTAGAGGCACTCTTGCTCATCATAACTATGAACTTAATTAGTTTATTTCATACTCAGGAACAGAGAAGAAGATTTTCAAAGAAATAATGCATTTTCACTAAATACTTATTTAGCCCCGCCCTAGCACAAGAACCCCTGACCCCAGGGCCATGGAATTCACAATTTTGGTAGAGGACTCAATGCTAATTACAATCATGCAAACAGTTTGACTGCTCGATGTCCAGGAGTAAAGAAGAAGATTTTTAAAGACTGCAATAATTTTAGTGGTTTTGGCCCCACCCCAGGCCCCAGGGTGGCAGGGATAATGAAATTCACAATTTTTGTTCCCATTCACTCATAGATGTTTTGTGCCAAATTTGGTTGAAATTAGTTCAGTGGTTGCAGAGAAGAATAAGCTGAAAATGTTCAAAAGTTTACGACCGATTGACGACGAAGGACGGATGACGACGGACGAAAACAGATAGCAATAGGTCACCTGAGTGACTCAGGTGACCTAACAAATATAGGAGGGTTAAAGAAATAAATAATTATTTTGTGTTGTCTAATAAAGTCTATTTGTTAGGAAACAAACAAGTTCAAAAATTTTGAAGATATAAAACTCAAAGTATTTAAACAAAAATATTACTCCAAAACTCAAGAAAAATGGGAGAAATTACTGCAAATTGAATCGGAAAGAATTTGGAGGTCAGTTCATGAAGTTAAGATTTCTAGAAACAAAAGAATCAAGAATTTCAATGGAATTGTGTGCATAACACTTTTCAAACTGAAGAAAAACGAAGCTTTTTTGTAAATCAAATATTTAACAAGAAAACATTGATGTAACCATCAATAGTCGCCGGGAAATAAATAAAATAAAAAATGGCAATGATCGAGTCTTGATCTTCAAACTCCTTAGATATGTGTGAAAAAGGCATGTGTCTAAATGATGAAGATGATATTTGAGAATATTTTGAAAACTTATAGTCGGATGAAAATCGAACAAAAATGATACCCTTTTAAACTTTATCAATTCCTCAAGTAAATGTTGGCTGCATAAATATAAATTGAAACCAGACACACGCATCACTTAGATATCAAAAAATGTATTTCACTTTAAGAACATAAACACGAACTGTGTAGAGTACGCTTTTATGCGACATGTAAAATTCGGTGTTCTGAAAAAAAAGGGACCTGTCGTTTTTTCGATAGTAAATGATAAAGCCGCTTCATCCGAAACAGGCACATATTATCTTAAACAATAAAAGTTTGTCATTACATAGATAATATATAAAAATTAATTATAAGATTGATTTAATAGTTTATTACACCAATCCTTACATGGAAAACATTGACCAAAAACCTTGTTGACAAACAGCAGTTCCTGACGGGAAGTTAAGATCTGTTTTGAAGTCACCTTTGAAAAAAATACTTTTATCGGTTATATCTAATTATGAAGAGAAATCAAACCCGAATATTTTTTTGCCATTAGTAGAATCCTAAGTCATGATATATCTTTTAAAAATTAAGAAATTAACTGAATATAATCCATAGTAATTTTTATATTAATATGCATATTTACAGAATAAAGAAAAATCAGATATTTTTAAATATTTTTTTAAAAAGGGAGTTTAGTAACGAGGGTTAGATTATTGCCCGTGTACACTTTGTTGTGGAAAAAATGCTCGGGTTTGTTCTTCATGAGTTATACATGTAAGCGATAAATTTAATTTTTCGAAGGTGATTTCACGCAATGTAAACAAAGGATTATTTTTTGTGTGACCTAACAAAAATTATTTTTTTAACTTTAGAATTTTGATATCTTTAAAAAGAAAAAGACTTTGGGGATATAATTTGACAAAAAATTGAAATAATTTATGGATAATTATTTTTCAAGAAGAAAACGAATATATTTTTTAGCGATTAGAATCGGACCAAGCGGCTATAAGCAACTTTATATATTAAATATGAAAAACATATACAAGGTATATTTTTACAGATTCACTTTAGGGAAATAGAAATATTACGTATATCGTAATTTATAAAAGGAAAGAACACTGTGATTAACAATCTTTTTAATGTTTAATAAACCTTTAATTCTGAATAACTTCTCCAAGCTCAATCCCCATATACCCACAGGCACCTGAAGTATGGACATCCCCCCTTTTTTTATGAAAAAAAAAATGTAAGAGTGTATAATACCTCGAAAATATAAAATTTCCCTGTCAAACACATCTATATGTCGTTATATGCAAGCAGATTGCACTTTTTCTCACGTTAAAAGAATGGCCCTGTTCGGTATTTCTAATATACCGAATAGTGCCATTCTTTAAACGTGAGAAAAAGTGCAATCTACTTGCATATAACGACATATAGATGTGTTTGACAGGGAAATTTTATATTTTCAAGGTATTATACACTCTTACATTTTTTTTCATTAAAAAAAAGGGGGGGTATTCGATCCATACTTCAGGTGCCTGTGCATATACCAACACTTAAACTTATATGTATAGAGCAGCCCGGTCCTTTTGGCTGCAACAATGAAAGTCGGGAACATTTATTTTATGATGTAATCACGTCAAACCAAAGCCCGCGTGTAAAATCCACCTGTGACATCACTCTTTTGTTTAACTGCTCCATTATTTTTTCAGGAATTGATAGTTGCATATTACATTGAAAGCAGAATCTGTTTTGTTCCTATTATCCTTCCCCTTCCTCTACCGAAGAAATAATTTTAAAAATTTTATCTGGTTCATTATAACATAAAGAAAATTTAAGTACCCATTGTGAGAATCGAGCCCGGAACCCTAATCTTTGGAGTCGGGTACTCATTTCATTGAGCTATTCAAGCCGTTGATATACATTGACTTTGAATAACTTCATTACACTTTTTCTTGCCTTACTTTCCATAGTATATATCACAGGCACCTTGTGTTATTATTATACTTTGGATTAAAAATTTATTACCGGAACAAGTGCCCGTGGTATATATAAATATAAATTGACTACTACTATTAAATATGTAATGTATGCACGTATGTACTGGTATTTACAGTGTATAATATAAATATTCTTTATTATACATTAGCAAACAATTATCACAAGCATTTCGAAAGGTGGATTATACTAGTATATCTCTCCTTAGAAATGACACTTAAGTAGTTATTGATTAAGGTTATATGTTTTTAAAACTATTAAAAATACTCACACCTAGATGTTTTGCCATTAAAGATGAAAGAAGCTTTTATTGAAATTGATTTTGAATCTTTCAGTGTCACAGCGTTTTCACAAGTGAAAACTCCAGGTATCGGGTCACATCGATCAAGTACCAAATACACCGTCACAAAACTTTTACTAGAGCCTAAAAGAAAAATCTCTCATTTCTTCATTCTACCACAGCCTGGTAAAATAAGAAAATAAATATATTAAAGAGGCTGGGGGTGGCAGCCTTTTTTTTTTTTTAGACTATTTCTATCTCCTTTAAAAGAAGAGCTCCATATAAAGATATACAAAAATGATCAAATTTTAAAACTAAAATGTATGATTTGTTTCTTTGCCAAATGATACTAGTAGTTGACAGCTTAAGATACCGTATCTAAAAAAATAAGTTAAATCTGGTGGTGGTTAATTTGTTGACCCACCAGCCTCCTTAATAAATATATAAATAATTAAAGTAATTAAATAATATATATGGGCTATTGTATAAAATGGTGTATTTACACACTTGCTTTAAAATTTGCACGATTTCGAACTCCCCCCCCCCCCTCCCATTTTTTTTCTTTTTTAAAGAAGAAAAAAACACTTTAGATTAAAGATTTGAACTTATCGTATTGTTGCTAGGATTTTATATTTCAAATCATCAATTTTGTTTTTCTTGTGAGAAGGCCTTACTTGGGTGCCCAAATTTGATTTCTATTTGAGAAAAATTGAACCTTTCTTAAGTTGCCATACGGGGGCATCAGTGTTTCACAAATTTATAAATCTTGTTCAAAATATTATTAATTGTACACTAAAGACTGAAAACATGGGCTCGAGTTTTGTTTGTTTTACCGGGTTTGATCTTTTTGCTATCAATGCATACGCCACTAAGCACAACAACACTCTTGTAATGGTTAAGCTTTCAAACATATAATTTATATTTTGCCCCTTTTTTTAAGTTTAAAATCTGCCTAAAACTCAACAATTCTATGAAACATTTCAAGGATTTTAAAAACTTCAAAATGGACCTTCACTCCTTTAAATAGTTCAGATGACCAGATACTAGTTATTTGGACCATCTTGCGTTTGACGTGATCAACTAACATTAATTTTCCTCCGCTTTCGCGAAAGCGATGGGACATTAAATCTCATTCGTCTGTCCATCCGTCAAAAAACTTCTTTACATTGTGACCTTGACCTTGTAGTTTGTCCTACTTTTCAAAAACCTTAACCATGGTCATAACTTTTAAATGAGAAGTGATAAGGCTTTCATATTAAACCTGTGTATTATATATTGGCTGTGACAAGCCCTTTCTATTAAAAAATGCATTGATTTTTACCCATAAACCTTGATGTTTGACCTACTTTTTGAAAAATCTTAATTTTTCCTTGTAACTTTTGATTTAGAAGAGATAGAGATTTCATATTTGACAATTGCAATACAAGTGCATTACCTATGGCAAGATATTTCCAAGCATGCTTTGATATCTGACCCCTTGACCATGACTATTTACGATTGACCTTATATTCAAAAGAATCAACTTCGGATATAAGTTCTGTATGACATATGATAGGGCGTTTATATTTGACATAATATGTCATAAAAATGACATCTCACCCACAAAAACACCGAAAGCGGAGGACCTCAATTCTTTAGATTTGCTTGTTGTTTACTGAAAGCTACAGTGTGTAAATCAAAAATGGAAATCAAGAACATGGTGGATGTGTATTTGATACATGAAATTTTTGTTGCCCGCAAAAACTTTAATCCTTTCCAAATCGTTTGATTAGTTGGAGTTAAACTTTTGATTGATTGGATGTATGGCTTTCATAGCTACAGATCTGTAGCTTTATGGTTTTATATATTTGTCCTTGACCATAACGCTACAAATCCCGTAATGCAAAAAAGGTGCAATTTACGGCGCATTTATTTTTTGCGCTCTTTCGGGAGAATTTCTCCACGTTCCAGCATCAGTCAATCAACTATCTTTCACTCCCTAATTCTAGACACATTCTGTAGCCAATATGTATATTTTATCCATCTCCCAAACATTTTTAGTTGTCTGTACAGACAATAAACTTGCTTGAAGTGATTTTTTAGCAATCTAACAAATAATAGTAATAAAGCGAGTTAATCACTTGTAGACACGATTATAGAGGGTTGGGAGATGGATAAAATATACAGATTAGTTAAATAATGTGCCTAGAATTAGGGAATGAAAGGTAATTAATTGACCGATGCTGGAAAGGGGAAAAATTCACCCCAAAAAAGCGCAAAAAATATTGCGCCGTAAATTGCATCTTTTTTGCATTAGGGGATCTGTAGCGTTATGGTCAAAGACAAATATATAAAACCGTAACTCTACAGATCTGCAGCTAAGGCTTTCATAGATCAAAGGTATTTTTGTCTTTAGATCTTTCTTTGGGTACTATGTATTTGACCTCTTGACTTTAACCTTGCAGTTTGTCTGACTCAATTATTCAAAATTTTACCAGTACTTTTACTTTGACCATAACTTTTGAAGTAAGCAACCTCTATATATACTTTTATACACATATGCTAGGCAAGCAACAAAAAAAAATGATATCCGTCAGATAAATTTACTATTATTTCGGTCTTCACAAAAACGTGTATTTTATATGGGCTGAAATACTGACTTTTCGTAACAGTGGCTTGGACATTTCTATTCCCCAGTGCTGAAATGAAAAAAGATGGCAGAAACTTATAACTCTTCCTTTGCCATCTAACATTACTCGAGCCGAACATCTTGTCCTTAGCTTCAGATTCTGAAATTAAAGTAAAATATCAGCAATTAGAAGTTTTTAAAGAGACTGAAGATTTTGAAGGCAAGCTTAAAATAGGCTAAGTAAATTATTAGGATTTAAACTTTGTTATTTTTAGGTCATGAAGGCTTTCATTTGTCATATTTCGTCTGACATCTGTCCGTCAATTTGTCAATAAGACTGTTCGTGACTGTAAGAGCTTAATATTTTCATATTCTCCAGATCCACTGGGTCAATTTCAATTAATTTTGCATTTTCACTATACATATTGTATAATCATTAGAGCCCCATCCTAACACCAAAACCCCTGACCCAAGGGCTTTGAAATGCACAATGCACAATTTTGAAAAAAGCACCCTTCCTTTACCCTCCATATTCCTTGCCATAACTATGTAGTTTATTGAGTCAATACCTAGGAGATTGGGATACCTTTTTAATTAATGTATTTTACCATATAATCAATATGGCCCCGCCCTTAAACACCAAAAACCCTGACCCTGGGGCCATGAAATTCACAATTTGAAAGAGAAAGAGGTACCCTTTCTCATCATAACTATGTAATATTTCATTGGATTTATACCAGGAGTAGAGGAGAAGATTTTTAAAGAAATAATACATTTGCATTTTCACTATATAATCAGAAGAGCCGCCCTAGCACCAGAACCCCTGAACCTGGAGCAAAGAATTTCAAAATTCTGGTAGAAGGATCAATACTAATTACAATCATGTCAAGACTTTGACTGCTTGATGTCCAGGAAAAAAGAAGATTATTTAAAGAATGCGTTAATGTTAGTGGTTTTGGCCCCATCTCTCAGTCCCCAGGGGGTAGGGATCATAAAACTCACAATTTTTGTACCCCTTCACCCATAGATGCATAATGCTTAATTTGGTTGAAATTGGCTGAGAGGTTTCAGAGAAGCTGAAAATGTTTAAATTAACGCACGACGGACGACGCGCGATGACAAACAAAACAGATAGCAAAAGGTGACCTGAGTGACTCAGGAGATCTTTTAAAAAATAAATAAATAGAGGAATCGGAATTTCCCAGCAATGGGCACATCTACACACAGTACACACTGTGTCCAAAAGATCTGTTCATTATGATGAAATTTTGTGCAGCTTTAGAAGAAATGTTGCGCTGACAAACTCGAAAAGTGTAATATAAACCTTACAAAAATATATAAAGCCATGTAAATTTTATGAGGAAAAGCCAAATTGTTAAAATCAGAATATGTGATTTTACTATTTTTCACCACATTCCGCTTCCTCATAAAATTTACCTGGCTTGGTATATTTTGTAAAGTTCATATTACGCTTTTAACACTAAGCTGACATATTCTGAATTTTTTTTTTCATCTGTAAACCTTTACTGCGTATGATTTTTTTTTTCATATTTATAATTTTATTGAAGTATATACTAATATTTTCCAAATCTATTTTATTTTCCAAGACTAACGAGATAAAATTCAAAGAATTATCCACTTTTCTAAGCCTTGAGATGATATTAAGTCCAAAGAAAAAAAATTGTGTGTATCATCTGTCCTTAACATGCCGTGAATAAAATCGTCAATTTTTTCAACTTAGAAAATCGCGCGTTTTTCTAAAAAAAGAAAAAAAAAGAAAAGAAGAAAGCATTGTTCCAATGTGCGACACATATACTAGTCTTGCTTTCCCTCTAAATGCACTCTTCTAAATTTACCATGCACTGCAAAACAAAGTAAACACAATACAAGAGACCCATGGGCCACATCGCTCACGTGACCATTTTGAACCCCATATTGTGGCCGCTCCCTATCCCCGTGGGTCATGTTTTGAAAAAAAAGATCATTCCCAACATGAGGATGCTTTACATTTCAATATGACTAAATATAGCTTTTCTGTTCTTGAGATTTTCCCCTATATATATTCTATGTAAAATTTGATCCCCCCCTGTTGCCCCATCCAGTCCTCGGGGATCATGATTGTGACAAACCTGAGTCTTAACCATCTGAGGATGCTTCCATATAAAAATCATTAAACATGGCTTTGCTGTCCTTGAGAAAAAAAATTTTAAAGTTTTTTTCTTATATATTTCTATGTAAAAATTAAATTGACCAATTATATGGTCCCACTCTACCCCCGGGGGTCTTGATTTGAGAAAGATTTAATTTACACTGTCCAAGGATGCTTCCAAATAAATATCACCAATCATGTCTTTGCTGTTTTATTTTTTTTTAACTTGAGAAGATTTTTAATTCACCATTTTCACTATTTCCTTAGTTGTCTCCACTTGGAAGATGGCTTGGTCCTTCATTTGAAACCCCTTTACCAATCAATACTCTGTGCCAAATTTGGTTCAATTTGGCCTTGTGCATGGTTCTTGAGAAAAAGTTGAAAATGTTAAAAGTTTATGACAACAACACCATGCAACGACAGACAAAGGACAAAAAACTACGAACGATAGTATTGTTCTCCCGCCTACCTTTGAGTTAATTCTCAAAAGATAACATATTCGAATGATTTTCAGAATTTTTATAGATATTTATATGAATTTACATAAAACGTTACTTATTTGGGATACCAAAGAGTGATAACTCTATAATTTTGGTAAAACTTGTTTTTCACCATAGAAATCAACGGAAAATATTTTTAAAACATCTCCCCCCTACCCCGTGAAACAAAAATACCTTTTAACAGGTATTATGGACTGTCATTTTACAAATTTATGCCAAAGTTTATTGTGTTTCATGGGGGGGGGGGCATACCGGGTTTGTTTATAGACAGAAAAAAAAATTCCAATTTTTCATCAATTTTAAAGTTATTTACAACTAAATAATTGTATTTTATTAATTTATTTATGTTTTATTTATTTTCGTTACACATAAGAAAAGATATAAGATACATTTTTTTTCATATTTAAGACTATTTCAAAATGTGGTGATTCTTGAAAGTTTGATTTCACTAGAAAATATCGTCTACCCCCCTTTTTTCAAGAGCTAGAATTAATGATAATTTACTGTCTTGCGCTGGAATTAAAATGATTAATCAACTACCATTGAACTGTTCTTTGCCATTAATATTGAATTTAATGGGTACAAAATGTAGGCGGGAATCAAGAGTTAGAGTTCGTAGTTCTTTTGATCAGAAAAGCTCGCTAATAAAATGACACCAAATCGAGACTGTATTCACCTATAATGTTAAATATCCCTTTTGTTTTATTAACAGATGACCTCCATTCCATCCTGAAACCTATATTTTCTTTGACCTTCTGTTTGAAAAAGAGGTGCGCATCCTTAGTTCTTGCTCCCATTTCTGGTTTACACGTCACGTTCACAACTTTGGCACGGTATAAGCTCTGGACACTGCCAACAATATCAACAGGGCTCCTATTAGCTGCAAACAGAATATGACAGTTTTTCTTTCTTATTTTCCACTTTTCAATCTTGTGATTTGTCTTGAGATCATGATTAATATTACTGCTTGTGTATATAATATGGCTTACTCAGAATCGCTTTGGTACGGAAATACATGTACAAGTATGGTTGTTTCAACTGCGTACAATGTAATTAATTTATTCTATAAGTACTAGTTTTATCTTCAAAAGTCCACATTATTTTATTAGTGAAAAGAATAAGAGAACAACAATTAAATCTCTGACTAGTGAGTATGCACCTATATATAGTACAACAGACCAATCTCTGACTAAAGAGTATACACCTATATAGAGTACAACAGTATACACCTGTATAGAAAATAACGGTCCAATCTCTGACTAATGATTATACACCTGTATAGAAAATAACGGTCCAATCTCTGACTAATGAATATACACCTGTTTAGAGAACAACAGTCCAATCTCTGACTTATGAGTTTACACCTGTATATACTACAACAATCCAAGCTCTGACTAATGAATATACACCTGTATACAGTACAGCAATCCAATCTCTGCCTTATGAGTATACAGCTTGATAGATTATAACAGTCTTATCTCTGACTAATGTTACTGTGGTAAATTTGAATACATGGAGTACAAAGTTGATCAAAGATGATATGTTGAGACATATTAAGAAAATCACGAAGAACAATTTCAAAAAGTATTTATCCTGTGTCAAAAATCATCAGACCATGATTAAATTCGAACGTAATTGACCCGTGTTTTTTAGTATACCTGCAAATACAAATTAAACCTAAAACACTCATTCCTGCAGATCTAGAGAGCGGAAACTTTAAATGTCATTTTTTTCAAAGTTCAAGAGGGATAACTCTGTCAAAAATCATTGTACCAATTTTGAACGTGACCTGTATGATTTGATAAAATACTTGCACATGCAATTTAAATCTTATAACTGTATACCTGGTAATACATACATTCCTACAAAAGTATAAGAGAGTGGAAACTTAAAATGTCTTTTTAAAGTTCAAGAGGGATAACTCTGTCAAAAATCATCATGCCATAGCCGTATTCCCCATTTTCAAAAGGTGAGTTATTTCCCCTGAAGGGAACTCTTTTACTGTGTTTAATACGCATGCGCTATAAATAAAGTCAATTCCGCGGACGTTCTTGATGTAAACATGTTCATGGTGTATGCCTCTGTCATATGGAAAAATGTTATTGTGTTTGTGAATAAAAAGAAATCTTAACTGATTCGTATATTTTTTTTTATAAAATTGCCCACTCATAGTCTCTTTCTGGATTTGTATTAATCTGCGTAGTACTATAATAAGGTGCTGTGTGACCCCCCCCCCACCCCCCTTACAAAAAAAAAAACAAATTACTGATAAAATGCTGATACATATTCGAATAGGCCTATTAAAAAAAAACAAACAAACAAAAAAGGCTAATTTTCGGTAGTGGATGTTCTGCAGACGGATCATTATTTACAAAATGTGCGGAACAAATTTTTAGTTATAAAGTTTTTACGAATTAATCTAGCCTGCTGCAGCCATATTTTCATTGTATCTCTAGGAATTTTTTGAAGACTGATGACATGTCTGAAATTGCTGCATATACAGCAGTAGTTCGTCTTCCGCGACCGATACCAAGAAACTGCGTTTTCGCTCGATTGTATGTCATAACATAGAACTTTTACTTAAAGAACACATTTTGTGACAATTAAAGGCCTATTTCATTTGAATTAACCGTGTTTCTAGAATTTTTTATTTGTAAAATAATTGATTCACTATTTAGTATTAAAACTTTGAATGGAATTCTAAATGAATAATTTAATCTCATGTGCTCATGTAACGAAGAAAGACTAATTAAAATAGCATCGACCTGAATTCATGTTACATATGTCGTATAAAGTCTGAGCTGCATTTAATCAAAGTTTTAGTGTAGGATCTAAGCATATGTACATGTATATTCCCGAGTAAAATACACATTTTGTTTTAAATAGATCAGAGAATTGAGAGCAGAAACACGAAATTGATACAATAATTTCCTAGCGTATTTCTCGTTAATTAACCGAAAACAATCTTTTCTCAAGTGTTATTTATTTTTTTAAAATCCTTTCAGTGTAAGTACATGTATTTATTTTTATAAGTTATTCTTTTTTTTTTTTTGCAAAGTGTGTAAAAAACAATATCAGAGAGAGAGAGAGAGAGAGAGAGAGAGAGAGAGAGACTCCGTGTAACTGACATACATGTACATCTGTGAAAAAAATATATGTACCCTAATTTTATTGAATTCACAATTAAAAATTCTAATAATCTTTAATTTTCACAACTATGGTTCATATTCAACTGTTCAACCCATTTACATATTCTCTGTACCTGTACACATGGAGGGGGGAGGGGGTGCGGGGTCAAGGGGTTTAGCACAACCCCCACTTTTTTCCCAATATTACTTTTTCTATTGAAAATGTTCATTGATAGACAAGTTGCCACCCCCCCCCCCCCACACACACACACAGTTTATACTACGGTAAAGTTATATAAGGGAAATGTAGTATTGTATGCCAAGGTACTGGTACTGAAATAAGTAGCTTTTTCAACATTGGGCAAGGTTTATCTTTGCTTGCCAACTTTTCCAGGTAAGAAAAAAATATTTCTTTGGCTACCCCCCCCCCCCTTTTAAAGATGATGCTAGCTACGTGCCTGGCTATTCGTATAGTTTTCTAGAAAGGGGGGGGGCTAACAGACCCTTTATAAAATAATTTATTATCTATAAAAAATGCAAACCGTTTCCTTCTTTTGAAATTTTTAAATACAACGTGTAAGTTGATCACTATTTTGTGGATTATCGTAACATGTAGTCCGCGGAAGTTATGCTAGTGTTGAAGAGTTCCGATTTTGAGGGGAGATAACTCACTTTTGAAAATGGGGAATTAGAACGGGCTAGCTTCTGGAAAAGGATTCTGTGTGGTAAAAATGAAAAAAAAAAATCCTTCACATTGTAGTCAATTTTGTACCAGTTTAGTTTAAAAGGTTTTTACCATTCAAAATGGCTTATGGAAATTAACAATATTTCACATGATTGTAATTTGGACCTAATGTGGAATGCTCATTATGTTGATAAATCATGCAAAATTGGTGCGTTAGTTAAGAATACATTAAAAATTAATTTTATCCAGGACTGGAATGTAAATGTATTAAATTCTCCAAAATGCCTCCACTATAGAATGTATAAGTGTAATTTTGGTTTTGAAAATTATCTAAACATGTTACCAAATGATCTTAGATTATATTTAAGTAAATTTTGTTGTGTCAGTCATAACTTGCAAATCGAAGCTGGTATATTTTTTTAGTATTGATAGATCTGAGAGACATTGTAACCTCTGCAATAACAATGAACTTGGTGATGAGTTTCATTATTTATTCAAGTGTCCTTTTTTTAAGAATGAAAGACAGAAATTTATACCTAAAAATATTTACATGAACCCAAACACAATATCTTTTTATGATTTGATGAATACTTCTGATATATATGAACTAATAGGTTTAGCAAAGTTTTGTAAAACTGTTCTTAAAACATTTAATACCTGAACTTCCTACGATGTAAACTTTATTTCTTTATTTTTGTACATCCATCAGTACTGTCCATATCAAAGATCTTTTTCTTGTTCATCATGTTAACTGGTTACTGTTCACATGTTTACTTGTTCATTTGTAAAATTATTGTTGTACTAACATATCCCATGTGGGGGCTTTAGTGAAATAAAAAGTTTCAAAGTTTCAATTTTCTAGAGCTTGACCTGCGAATTATATCCCAAATTTGAGTTGAATGTGTGAAACTGTTGCCGAGAAAATGAATTGAAAGTCAATCATGAAGGAATGACAGAATGACCGAATGATGGAACTGGGTAACCCTAAATGTCCCAGGCCATTTTATTGTGGGGACTAAAAAGGGGAAATGCAATGATAATAATAGCGCTTTTTTCCCACAAACCTGTAATTGACGTTGCACTTTCGTATTTTTCAAATTCTGTGTCGTATAAAGTAAGTTTTTTCTTTCCTTTGTTCATCTGAAATAGAGAAAAATGACATAAACATACGGCTATCCACAATTACTCTTCCAACTATGGGTAATAAAACTAATAATTTCTAATAATTATTAAATATTAATAAAAAAAATTATCTTTGTTTGATCTTTACAGATTTTCACAACGTTGGCTGGTGGCGCCCCCTTACCAAACTGTTTTATATGCTGCAGACCTGCAGCTAGTCCGCTGCAAGTTTGCAGCAAGTAAAATTGTTCGCAGGAAGAAAACTTTCTTATTTGTAGATGATTGTTGCTAGCTGCGATCTTGTAGTAAACATTGCAGCGATTGCTACAAGCTTGCAGCAAATTTGCAGGAACTCAACATGTTTGCAGAAGCATTGCAAGAAACATACACGCCAATCTGAACATTGTTCTAAGCAAGTGTACCGGAAACTTTATATTACTCAAATAGAGAGTTGCAGGAACAGTAAACAAGTCAAATTAAATAAACCAATTAAATGTAGAGTGTACTGGGCCAACACAGAATTCGCCATTTTGAATTATGTTTGATTGGAATTCTAAGATGTTTCAGTATTTTTAAAATATATAATACCAATTTGAATGATAAAAAAGGCATAACCTGGATATAGGTTTACATTGACATACTGTACACAATCTAATTGATGTTCCGAATCCGCTATCGCTTGTTTGAAAAGCGATAGCGGATTTGGAACATCTAATTTTAATTAGATTGTACTGTACACAACATCTTATTCGTTAGCTCTGATTTGTTTTATTTTTACATGTACATGATGTACATGAAACTACATTTTCTTTTAATTAAGGTAGGATTCTTCTCATATTTCTAATATTTAAAAAATTAATGAAATTTTCACAGAATCAAGAAGACAGTTTTGGTAAGTGATATTATCAGTGAAATTAAAATTTGACCGTCTTATATTAGAGGCAAGGTCAGGTCAAGGTCAGGTCAAGGTCATTATCTTTTTCCTTTACATTAAGAATAATAAAAAATAACTGTTGCCAATCATGTGATACCTACTTTTATTTCAAAAGTTTAATAATTGTTCTTTTTGCATACTATATCGGGTCTATAGCATGATATTACCAAAATTTACATAAATAATTTAATTTTACTGGATATTGGCTAATCCGAATTTTCTCTGTTTTCTAAATTTTTTAGGATATATTAGTTATTTTCATATGCTTCCCATATTTAACTTTTTCTTATTTTCACATATTATAAAGTTGTCTTATAAATGTACAAAATGATACAAAAACAAAAAGTTTTGATTGTTTACTAAGAGATAAAAAAAATACTTATGGATTTTTGGCTCAAATCTGCACTTTGATAGGAAGCGTTTAAAAGCTAATAAATTTCTAGTTTGTTTGAAAAATCATATTTATTTGATATACATGTATTTTGAAAGTTTAGTCCCTCATTATCAATCTAACTTACATTTGAAAATTTCTCCAAGACTTCGATTGTGTAAAAATTATAACAAAATTCATTGTTCTATTATAATTTTGAGAGGCAGAAAAGAAGATATTTTCATACGCCACCATTCCGGCAAAAATATAGTCCCTGCTAGTTTTCAAGCGCAGTTTACCAAAAAATGAAAAAAAATGAATTCTATTTAGAGTTGTAAAATTATGACGAGGAAAGAAAAAATATGGTCTTTTAAATTTCTTACACCTCAATATGTAAGACATATATTATAAGCAAATATACTTTGAATGTTTCATCTAGTCAGAAACCAGAGAAGAATCCTACCTTAAGTAACTAATGAAGTTGCTTGGTAAAATCTAAATCTATTTATCAATTTCAAAAAAAAAAAAATTAAAAGTCATTAATTTAATTAAGTCGGACAGTCGTTATTAAAATTATCTGTTAAATCCACGGCATACTCGCTACACTACTAGCAAGTATGCGAGCGGATCTAACATCTCATCTAATCTTAATTAGATTGGGGTGGGGAGGGAGTCCTATACAACATGCTTAAAATTCAACAAATATTTTAACAGTGTTAATAGCCATTCTCTGTAACCATTTAAACTTCGTTGCCACGCATGGTCACCGATTTTGATGAAACTTCACCCATGCTTAGTATTTGAAACCAGAAACAAATATCAAACAAAATTTCGTTGCTATATGTCTCGGTTGGTATGGCAACAGCCGGAAAAGTTTGAAAAATCGAGATTTTCAGCCACTTTAAATCTTGACTATGGCTTAATAAAAACTAGAAAAAGCAAACAAACCATTCTCACAAAAACCTGACACCTTGATGTCACTTATACTGTAAAGAAACTGTTTAGAATATATGTCTATGTAAGTGGTAACCAAGGGTACATTTGGAATACATTTAAAATGCTGAAATATGCTGAAAAATTCTCCGTATTCACTAATGGTAGGTGTTACATGCTCAAACTCAATCAACGACTTAAGAAAAACAATGAAAATATTTGACCTTAAGTATACAAGTATAAGCAATATTATTCTATAAATAACTTTTTATGGTTGCCATGGTAACACAGTGTAACCATGCAAAACCAGTAACTAAGATTGGGTTAATGCTACTGTCTTGAGGAAAAACATGAAAATTCAAGACTGGAAAATATGCATCCTTAAGACCTTTCAACACCAAAACCATAAGAAAAATTGGGTATAATTGCTACTTTGCAGTGTTACCATGGAAACAAAGTACCAGTGCTCAAAAGTGAATTATTTTTCGCTGCATTAAGAATTAAATTGCCATTTAATCAAGAAACAAATGAAAGGACTCAGCTTGAATAGTACTTATCTGTTAGAACTGAAGTTAAATATCATAAACTGATAAAATTTGATGAAGAAAACAACACTGTTGCTATGGTTACCAAGAAGGGAAAATATTCGATTTTGTGAACTTTATACCAATATTAAACCCTGTGTGCCAACTTCTTGCATCCACTTAGAGATTTGATGATAGTCAAAATTAAAAGCCAAGTTAGCTGTTAATAAATATCAATCATAAAAGTTTTGGGAATCTACATTTAAGGGTATGTATCCAAGGAAAGAAAATATGTTTCGGGTTCTTAAGCATATATTTTCTGCTTATTTCCATAGCAACGCCCTATTTAAAGAATCTAATCTGAATTTTTTTCAAATGGGAAAACGTGGAGCACACCAACATCTTATATTATTGATCATTAGTTATGAGGAAATGTGCCTTTTTTAAAAGATAGGATCGGATTTAAACATACAGAGTGTTACTTTGAAGGCTCTCTGTGGTATAAAAACCTTGGCAACCATTGCCAACCAAAATGAAATATCATATTTTGTTCTTGGTATATGTTTCAAAGCTCTTTTATTTATTATTTGGTCACATTTCATCCTATAATTACTTTTTATTTTACCTGTATGACTTTATAAGATTGAATGAATATTTTTTTTTTCACTTTTGAATACTTTGTTACCATAGTAACGTATGTAATAGTTGATTTATCGATTATGTTTATCATGCATTTGAGACATCTGACCTTCAACTTTTGGAAACAGTCATTGCCAATATTTTGCTTTGCCGCAAATGTTAACTATGGGGCTCTAAACATGTTAAAAAATGCCATTTTTCGAACTTTAAGACATTTTGCCATGGTAACTATAAAACATAGCAACCAATTTTTGCCTGATTTCAGTTTAGGGTATCAATGACTTTTATCTCAGAGAGTTTCCATTCATGTCCAGTTCCCCTATATAAAATGTCAAATCATTCGCAATGTTAACAATGTTACCCTTTTATCAGTTTACATCGTCTACATTGTCATATTTAACTTTATTGTATAAATTTAATATGCAATGTCTGTCAAAAGATATCGCGTTTACATGCAATTGTTATTATTTCTTCATACTGACCATGCAGCTCAAGACATCGCAATGTAAACAATGTTGATACGATATGCATTTACATTGTCTAATTGCTTTTATTTCTACATTGTATATTGACAACGCGATTTAATAAAATGTTTAAACTATCACGTGTTGCATGTACTATACAGATGAATAAAACTGTTTTCAAGTTGAAAAATCATTTTTTTAGTTAAAAAATTTTCAGAATGTAAGAGACATGCTTCATACTTGTTTTACACTTGATGTGGACTCATAAGAGTCAAAGATTGCCCTGGTGATAAAGTGTAAAAAGTAAACAGATTATACTAGTATTGCCTTATCAATATGAACTGAACTTGATTTTATGCGTTAAATGTGTTGTCAACGATTTTACAAAGATAAAAAGACACAAAAGGAAATTTAATGATGAAATGATGACGACTCTATATAGGCAAACACGGACACTAGGTATATAAACAAAAAAATAATCATAATGCAATGTTCACACAACATCAATTCAATTAATTACCGAACAACACAGCGATGTCGACGTTGTGAACAATGAAAACAAGATTTTGAAATGTTGTTGTTGTGTTTCCCGTCTTGGTTTTTGTGGGTTTTCTTTCGGATATCGACAAACATAGGTTTTATCGAAATTGTGAACGATGTAAACAAAAGAAAAATAAAACACCTTGCAATGTTGTACGCGATGTCCACTACAAGTACATGTGACACAACTGTTATTGCGAGTTTTTCGACGAATGTGAACAAAATACAAAAAAAAAAAAGTAATGGTAAGTGTTGAAAAAAATATAATTTTACAAAAAATTGAATATTATCCAACTTTTTTTGCGTTTTTTTTAAATAATGTCTTCACAGCATTATGAACGACAAAATATAAACAAATGTTAAAAATAAGTGATGCTGACGCAACCCCCCCCCCCCTCTTATGTAAAAATTTTTCGAAAATGACTTTTTTCTTGAAAAACGATGTGAACGATGTAAATAAGTAAATTTATTATAGGTGTGGCAAGGATTTACAAGTATTCAAAGTATGCATCATTTATCGACGTTATATTTTATAAACTTGTGCGATGTCGACGATGTAAACGATGTAATAAAAAAAGAATTAAGATAGGGCAATAACTTGGTATTGTATTACC